GATATGTGGGTCATCATATCTTCTTCGTCAACATGTCATTTAAGAATGGCATCAACCTGTTCTGATAGTTACATTGTTGTAATGGCTCAAAACCACTCTCCTACTGAAGCATGTAAATGAAATCTTCCACTCAAGTCATAATTACACTCATAGAGGACACTACCAAAGTCATCAGGAGGACATACTAATATGACAATAAAGCCCACTTATGATGCCTTTCATGGGAAGATAATTTTGCATTATAAAGGAAAAAATGTAAGAAGTATACACTATACAACCATAATCAGACCCATGACAGACATTTTCTCACATGCACGACCACACAAGAATATTGGTCTACCAATCTGGTTTATCCCACAGCAGGTGGAAAATCGAATCCGAGATTGGAAACAGTAAAATCGATTTCTATCTAGACCTTTAGCTAGTCGGATGTAAAGAACTTTTTTTGGCCTAGACTTTTAGATGATGCTCAGGCTAGAATTTCAGTATACTTTGTCTTCGAATTTTCGGGTAGGAAATTAGCTCTTTTATCTCAGAACAATGGAATGTTAGTCTCATAGTTTCCAATAAACATGTATCCAATTTATGGAAAAAAGCATCGAGAAAATTATCACAAAAGTACTCTCTGGGGATTGAAGGGCTATCTCCAACAAGCACTAATCATAGCCCATCATGACCAGATATCAAACAAACAAGTTTCTGTTTTCTGCAAGACTTCATAAGCAGACGTGAGACCAGATCCCAAACTCGAAACCATAATGTGTTGGTATCTGAAGCAGGAGGTTACGAGAGATCCCGATTTTTTTGAACAAGAACTTTTAAACCTTTCTCAAATGAGACCAAGAGGACCGCACAAGGACCAAAAGGGAGTGCTATTAAAGGACAAACTGCATGTTAACAACCTAGATTGAGATCCTCTTAGTAAAACTCTCGGTCACTAAAAGCTGAAGGGATGAGCACTATTGAGCCAAATGGCAACAGATGCCTCGACAAACGCCCTCTTGGGACCAGCAATGGTGCAGATTAATGAAGGATGTTTCCACAATTCAACAAACTTGATTTTCCACATTTTGATGGAAACATAGATCCTCTAGTCTGGATGAACAGAGTTGAGGACTTCTTTAACCATCAACTACTAGCAGAGAATTGGAGACGATGGGACTTACTTCGTATCGCTTTGAGGGAGATGCCCAACTTTGATTCCTTGGATTAACATAAACCCGAAATCAGCAGGAAGATCTTAAAGCAGACTGTAATATTCATTTTGACTCATCTACTCTAGCAAAAAACTTGGTAATATATAAATTGTGCCAACAAAACATAATGGACAAATGGCAGTACATTAAGCAGCTAGCTGCTCATGCCTCTCCCCTTAAACCCGTGCAGGAGAGAAGATCTTCCTCCACAGTTTCCAAGAGTTTATCATGGTGAAGATTGACCTGCAACATTAGACTGATCTCAAAAAGCAATGAACTTGGTGTGCCTCTATGAACGCCATGATGACAGGAAACAGGTCAATAGAAGGCATGTCACTCTCCTGAGCCACAGTTTGCCAAGTAACTAAATCGCTCTAAGACAACAGGTGAGAAAAAGGGCTTGTTGTCACGAGCTGTATGTGCTCAAGCACACTTTCAAGAAGCTACTTTGGCTAGAACTAATCTTCGTAATCATTACACCTCTATTGGACTTTATTAATTCCAATAGTACTCATTGCTTTTTAGATAAAGCTTTTGTACCTGATTACAAATTTCAGTGGAATAATGTTGATCTAGGTTGCAGCATCAAATAGAGAACGTGTTCAAAGTCCAGGAGTATACTGCAATCTTCCCTTGATTCACAAAACTATTCGTTTACATCTGACCTTCTTTTATCTTATTCTTGCGCACCTTTTGAGGAAGTCTTCGAAATTAATTGGCTGAGAATTATGGGCCGGACCTTTTTCACAACGATGTCCTACAACATGGCACCCACAACCTACAATGTTTTCCCAGTTTGCATCCCTTCTACTTCTTCACAAACAATTTGTCATTTCTTGCCTTTCATAAGCTTTTTTTTTAAAATAACCTTTCATAAGCTTTTTAAACCACCCAAAGAGCCACCTCGACATTATCACCAGATTCTGTTGAAATCTGAAACTGGATTGTTTTTAGATTAGCCATACGACTTACTAACCTACAGAAAGATGAGAGTAGTAAGCAATCTACTGAGAAGCTCAAGGACATTGTATCCACCCAAGCCAACCTCCTCACATTCTTTTAGTTAAGAACGTTTACAATTCCTAGTGAATGTGTTAATTACCAGGCACTAAATAGCAAGAACATCAAATACAAGTTCTTCGATCCCAATGACTGTAGAACTTCTCATCATGGACCTAGGTTTTTCACTGAACTTGATTTAAATTCCAGGTACCACCAGAAACTAATGCACCATCATGTGAACAAAACCATCTTTTAGACTCAGCAAGGCCATTTCGAATTTCTCATTGTTCCTTCCAATTCATCAAATGCAATATGCTTTAAAATCATTAATGGATGTGGTTTTCTAGGAGCACTAACTATCATAGTTATTTTGATGACATTCAAATTTTAACGACATTCGAACCTATAGCAGGTCGTGGACTGAACATTTCCATCACTTGAAAATTGTCTTTGATGTTTCATTTCCTAACTATGTATTCCTTGATAAACTAATGCTTTATCCTTAAAAAGGTCTT